TGGACACATTTTGTTTCGGACGAAGAGGACATATTTGCTAAATAAAGGCGAAAAAACGCCATTTCGCAAAATTTCGTTTCGTTTCGTTTCGCAAAATAGTACAATTTCGTTTCGTTTCGCAAAATAATATAAGCCCTTTGTGAGTCTAGCCTCTCACCTTGTAAACACGTCGAGATTTTTTGTAAATATCTTGCTTTTATATGACCATCTAAACTCTTTGCATACTCAGATAAGACTATTTTTGATGTTGCTCTAGATATTTCGTTGTTTGTCCCAATTTTAAGGTCGCTATCTGTTTTGCACGCCGTTGACAAATGCCTAATTTTAGATACTTGTGGCTAAGACAGCACACGCGCGTCTGTTCTCCCTTGTCATCGAATATTTAACAAGCGCGAGTGGAATAATTGTTTATTAAAAACGCCCCCAAGATATTAGACAAATCTTACCAAATCTTAAATTTTTTAGCTCCCTTTTAATTTTAACCCGACGCGTACGCTTGCCATATTTGTAGATTATGGTATATTGGCTCATATACCATAATGGCTAAGCCAATAAAAAGTCTTGAATTGCATTATACAATGATCCAGTTTTTAATAAAATCCTTTAACCCCATTAGCGCTGGACCAATGAGACGAGAGCGAGCCTTTTAGCTACGTGATCGGGGAAAATCAATCGGAGAAATCAAAAAAGTAGAGAATTCTGCTATTGTAGCAGTGTGATCGTGTCTCTACAAATAGAAAATAGGCTGTCTTAAACGGGAATGCGCCTTACAGAATTGTAAGTATATCTAAAATAAAATAGAGGAAGTTTTTAATCGAGTATCTGTTCCTAAAGAATTGTGATTTTTGAAAGAATGGGGCTTAGTCGACTCACGTGTGTAACTTGGAATATGCAAATGAGCTTCTTGTCCACCAATATGGCAGACAGTATTTTTAATTAACGGTGGCCATTTCAACCAATTCAACTTTGTTGATATATCAAAAGTATTTTTAATTAGACTTATGACGTCACGTGAAAACACAGAATAATACATTTGACAGCTTGGATTAATCAGCTGAAATTTCAAGACTCAAGACAGCTTCAGCACGTCACATCTGGACTACCGCCAGCAAGGATCGATGTTTGTTCAGCTTCATTCTAGTGTAAACTCTATAAAAATTATTTACCATCCAAAAGAAATCCGCCGAAGGAAAGGGTCGCTTGTCAACTGAACTAAAACCTAAATGGATGTTACAGCTGCCATTTGCTAATTATAAACACCAAATTACAGCAACGCCCATAGGACATCATTGAAAATTAACTGACAATTGTCATATTACATTATCCTTCTGTTGCAATGATAATGTTGGTATCTTTCAACAATCTTGGACAAAAACTGAATAACGATTTTCGAAAGTTAAAAGAAAATGGAAAAGAAAACCTTGATTTTTCCTGTTTTAGGTCCACACTTTGCGATATCTTGAAGCCGGAGAGGTGTCTAGTCATGTTCTTTACTCACAGGGACATTGCAAAACCGAGCGATATTTAAGCTTCGCAGTTAGATTCGACTAACACTCGGTTTTCAGTGACCCCTGATTATCGACTTGAAAATTTCGTGCAGTGTTTCAGTAACCATGTGCTCGACATTCTTCGAGATGAAGCGACCGATCTGATGTGATTACTCCCAATCAAGGTTTAATTGCAAACTCTCAAAGTTACGAAAATCGTCCCTCACAGAGAGCATAAGGGAACCTATGCTCACTATATTTTCCGCAAATCTTACCGAATTTTTGTTTAGATTTTAAGCGAAAGAGCGGTTACAAAGTATAAAACATAATGTGCACAAAGCAGTGCGGAACTATAGAGCGTAAATTGTTGGTTTGAGCTAGTTTCAAAGCGGTCAGATTTGGAACGGAAACCGCGACGAAAAGAATCGCTAATCGTGCACCGACACTTGAGAAAGTTATTTGTGCGCCTCCAAAAATTTCCAATAATATGCATCAATTTTGAAACCTTTTCGTTAAACAAATTTCAACAAAAGCAACATATGTCGATGTAAAGGCAACGTGTGGAAAATAATTCGGGTTTTTGGCTGGACCGTATATTCATTACCGTGATCAGGGTTCTGCTTTTATTGAAGCTTAAATGATGGATAATATTCTTCGCGACGAAGGTATTGTAGGTTTTAATCGTGGGCCGGGACTCACGTGTTTTCTTTTTTACAGCAACAAAGTGCTGTGCAACATCATTTATTCTCTGTTTTACTGTACTTGGGGTGAGTCTAACATGAATTACACGCGGGCTTCGCCATCCATAATTTTCCTCCCTGCAAACACTGAGAAAGGGTGCGGGTGAAAAACGCTCTTTGCGATGAAATCACTTACCAGCTGGAAACGCAGTGGAGATAAGTATGGCAGCAACGAACCACAGCTTCATCTTGAAGAGCTTGATGTTTCCTTGAGAGTCAAAAGCTGCAAAGTGAAAGCGTAGTCTCAAAGTGTCGAAGAACGTGCTAAAACCTCACGCTCTCAATGAGTACCTGCAACTCAATGCTAAACACACCCTTTGTCAATAGCTAATGAAGTAAAATCACTCTATATTGCTGTCAGTCATTCTCAGTAACTAGCCAACAATGAACAATTGCTTGTCTCCCTTGTGACATGACTATGGTGGCCGAGAACTGCCATTAAAAATAT